CCCCAAAACCCCAAAACCCCAAAACCCCTTGATAAGTTTAATTGTTTGAAATCATGAGGAATGTAATTAAACTTAAATAAAAACTAAATGGAGGACCAGCTTAGTGCTACAAAGCATTAAAGCAATGAGAAAGGATCATTAGAGCTAAAGATAAATCCAATATCCCCAAGTCATCACAACAAACGCTCAAATGAAAATGGCTCAATAAATAAGAAATTGCCTCCTTCAGTTCAGACAAATCTTTTAAATTTGGCTAGCTAAAGTAAGAATTCAGGTTATAACAGTCCTATGCTAACTAAAAATCATGCTCTTGGCGATAAACTTGGTAGTAGTAGCCATGGCAACGGAAATTTAGATGAGTCTCGAGTGCATGCTCCCATTGAAAGTTTCGTTGACGACGGCCAGTAAAGATTAGAGAGAACAAAGGTAGAATTAGATGAGACTATCAAGGATCTAGATCATAAACTGAATAGAGTTCTAGCCAAATAAGAGTATGATTATCTTAAGGGCTATAATATTTATGTGAAACGTAAGGAAAAGGAGCTTAGAGATTTAATTCAAAAACTAAGTGATAAGAATCAGAATACAACCTTTAAAGATGATAAATTATCAAATCTTGAATAACAGGTTCACAATCTTAGAGATGAGCAAATGAAGATGGAAAAGCAAAAGTAGGAGTACAGAGAAAAAATTAAATTCTGGAAAAATAAAGCTGAAATGTTTGAGAGCGAGAAGAACTTCCTCTATAAATAGACTATGGATACCAAGAAGAAAAACAAGCTACTCAAGGCAGCAATAGGTAAACTATAGAATGAATTGGAGAAAATATCAATGACTTAGGAGTAAAAGCAAAAAATTGAAACCGAAATATAAAAAAGTCATTTCTTCCTGACTGATCTCATGAATCTCGCTCAGTCTGATGGGGAGATGAAGGCGAAAAAGACCTCTCCTAATTAGTTGAATTAATCTTAGCAATTATTAGAGAATTCTTAGATTCAAGACATCAGCACTATGCAATTCAGTCTGCTTGACACATCAATCAATTAGGGTCCAAAGAAGCCTAACCACAAGAGATATCAATCATTAGCCATTAATAATTAAAGTTCAAGATACGCAAACATTCCAACAGAGAACATAAAATTTGAGAAGTTTATGGATTTGCTCTACAAATCAAAAATGTCTTAAAGTGAAGTCAAAGATGAGGTCAAGTCCTATGTCTAAGCTATTGAAACAAACTACAACGACACAATCAAAGAGCTTAAGCTCCAAAATGAAAGGCTAGTTAGAAAAATAAAAAAGATGCAGGGTGAAAAGGTTAACACTGCAGTGGAGAAAAATGATTTAGAAGCCTTGTTTGTAGACTGCATTGAGGATGTGAGGAAAGACATAATGAAGAGAAGACTTAAGAATGAAATAGTTCAAAAGAAGAAAGGCTTGATGCCATTTGATAAGAATGACGAGGATGCTAGAGAATTCGAAGAGAGCTTGATAAAACTGGCATCTCTAGCTAAAAGTAAAATCAAGCTAACTGACTTCAGTCAGAAGGATAGATTCAATGTACTCGACTTATTTGTAAATAATGAAAAGACTCTGATCAAGATCTACGAAGCATTGTTCCCACATAGAGTATAACAAGCTAATAATGCAGTAAATCAAGTCTTGACATAGAAGAGTATCATAAATACCAAGCCGCAAACTCATAACAACAATCGAATGGATATGAGCATAACTACTTCTTCAAAGAATATGGATATGATGTAATCATTAGATGATCATCCCCCAACAACAAGTCAAGACCAAAATACTTCCTCAATGTTTGATAACACTCATATGTTCCCAAAGATACCTCCAAACAAACCTATGACTGAAAGCATCATATTTAATTCGAGCAAGTATTAAAACATGAGAATTAACGCTATGAAGCAGCTATGATGATTAACTAATGATAAACTTATGCCTGTCCTTATATATTAAGACTTGAGGAAAGTGCAAAAAGTTAATAATTTTAGATTAAATTAACGAATTAATTATAAGGTTTTGTGTTAGTGTTGCACAGTGGATCGCACTTAATATTATCCACTCATCTTCTACTCTTCTTTTTATTCTTTTTATGTTTTTCAGATTCAGATTCTGAAGATGAAGAATCAGAGTCATCATCAGAAGATGAATCACTGTCGCTACTGCTGCTATCAGAACTACTTGCATTGGCCTTGGCAAGGAGCTCAGCATATTTCTTTTCCAACAATAGCTTTGGAGCATTTTGCAAGAACTCTCTAAGATTTTCAGTGATTGCTCCTAATCCAATGCTGGTGAAAAAGTTAATACTGAACCTAGCATTCTATACTGAGTCTGTTGGAAATAAGTTTTGCAAGTGTGGCTGTAGTGATTCATCAGCTAGCTTTTGCTTGAACTTTTCCATTCCGAGATTCTCTGCCAACTCCTAGAAGAGGATCTTTATGAAAATTCTGCTTGAAGCAGTGGTATCATCCTCAGTCAATCTTATGCAAGTAAGGCACGTCCAATCGATTGACTCCGTGTAAAGCAAGTGCCCAAAGAATTTAGCGGCGTTACGTAGTTTATTTATCTCTAGGCGATGCACAGTCACGTACTGTTTCATCAGAAGCTCGTGAAACTTTTATTGATAGATTTCGTTGAGCTAGCAAAATCTCTAGGCAAGCAGTCCGTAAAATCTGAGGTAGGTTCTCTCCTGCATATTACATTCGAGGATCATGTTGCACAGCTCCATTTCCTAACCCTCTCTTATGTTCAGTTTGAGAAGTTTGTGACAGCATTCTTCATAGTCGACAGATGACATGATTACCAAATAGATAGTTCTTCTCAAGTTAACTAAATCTTTCTCAGTGAAATCCAATATTTACTAAACAAAAATGGGTAAATAAAGAAAGTTAATCTTACATTTTTATCTTCTTCCTCCTCTTCTTCCGAAGACTCCTCCTCTGCCCCTCTGACTATGCCAGCACCAATCTTATTCATTCTCTCATCCTCAACTTCTCCTAGGATTTCCTTCTTAATCTCGTCCCATTCAGTCTCAGTCTGTTCGTAATTGGCATCGAAATTAAACACATTGGTTTCCTCTTAGCCATCTAGGTTCTGCTCCTCAAGTGAAACATCATGAGTGATCTTGTCGTCTTCCTCAACTAAGTCAAGTTCAGGAATTACTCCTGGATGCTCAGCGAATCTCGTTTTACGGATGGCAAATAAATTCTCAATAGTGTATTGCACTTTCTTGGCTATTTCTCCCTCGTGCAAAATAGTCCTAAATCTCTCGAAAATTGCATTCACTCCAGCAGGGGTAATGTCTGTGAGTACTTGACCACATTCAATCATAAAGTCAGCTGCAATTTCAACTGAATCTTCTGTAGGATTCTCTAGCATCAAAGTAAGTAGTTCTAATCCTAGTAGTTCATGAACTATCTGCTAATTAACCATATGAGCCATCATTCTTGTAGTAGCCATGCATACAATCTTGTTATTCCTCTTATAAGCTCTTTGGAACTAAATGATGTATCTGTTGATAATGAGTCTGACTAAATCTGGAAGCTTTGTGTTAATTACAGCCAGCAGTGCTGCATATACATGAGAAAAGTTAGGAGATGCCATTTAAGCTTTCATAATTGCTCTGGCAAGAAGACCCTTTCCTCTCAGCAGATTTTCATTGAATAGTTCTAGGATGATATTTTGGATGTTTGAAGTGTTGACTTTATTGATAATACCATTAATTGATTTCCTAAGCATTTCCCACATGTACTTCTAATGCTCCATTGAAGTTTTTTCCTTGTTTTTAAGTTCTTCAAGCATTGCCTTCAGTCTAAAGGGGGGAATATATACACCTCCGGCGGCAGCAGGCATCATGGCGTTCTTAGGCTCTCTTTAAACAGGCACAACTGGCTTCATCGAGGCCAATTCAAAATCCTCTGGTCTTCTATCTGGTAGTGTCAATGCCTTACTGTCAGTTTTAGTCTCCTCTCTAGGATCATTTCGTTTCTACCCATTATTACTGTCTCTATAGTTGTTGTTATTTGTTGAATTTTTTTCTCTATCATCTCTTCTATCCCTATCCTTATCTCTTCCTCTATCATCATGTCTGCGATCTTAATGATGTCTCTTACTGTCTCTATCATTTCTTTTACTGCGCACATTATCCCTACTATCACTTCTGCTTCTTGAACTAGAATGATTTCTTCTCTTTCTTCTGCGATCTCTATCATATGATGACTCACTGCTACTTCTAGATCTGCTTTTATGTCTTCTTGATCTCTTATGAGATCTATCGGTCCTTCGATGATGATCTTTGAAGGTTTTATAATGCTCCTTTTCTTTAGAGTGAGATCTGCTTATCTGTCGCTTAGTTTCCATTTCTAAATTAATACTATAATCTCTGAAATTATAATACTGTTCAAATGTGAGTATTAAGGGGTTTTGGGGTTTTGGGGTTTTGGGG